AGCACTCCTCAAATAGAAAACAGGAATGTGAAGCCATGTTCCCTGCGAGGAAGCTGGCTGGCTGAAATAGTCTTCTTTTGAGCATGCCCTTTTAAGGGAAATAAGTTACATTTAAACAGTAATATTAAGTATCTAGAATATATAAGTAATATTAAGTTGAAGAACTCTTCAACAACCATTAATTAGTTTTTATTTTTATTCAGACTGTGATGTGGATCACAGCCTTGGAAAGAACTTGTTTGCTGCAGCAGTACTTTCTTTTTATATTTGCCACAGATCAGACAAGAAGGCCTGGAGTAAAGTTCAGTAACCATTTATATCACAGAATCTGATACTTTGCTAGACCTGTACCAGTTAGGCAGTTATATTTTTCACACTGTTGAAACACAGAATGACAAAATTTAGAGTTAATTCCTTAGAGGTAGACTTGGAATGTAATAGCTCAGCAAACAGGAGGAAATGTAATCCTTTGTGTACAAGACCTTTAACTGGCAAGTTTGGATAGTCAAAGCAAATACTTCTACATTTTATGATTTACTTTCAGGAGACAATCTTCTTTCCTTTGCCTGATTTGATAATAGGATGGTGCAGGGGCTTGAGTAGAAGCCATGCAAGGAATGACTGAGGTGACTTGGTCTATTCAGCCTGGCGGAGACTTAGGGAAGACCTTGTGGAAGTTACAACTTCCTAGTGAGGGGAAAAGGAGAGGCAGACACTGATCTCTGTTTGTGGTGCCCAGTCACAGGACCCGAGGGAATGGCCTGAAGATGTGACAGGGAAGTTTAGGTTGGATATTAGGGAAAAGATTCTTCAGCCAGAGGCTGGTTGGGCACTGGAACAGGCTCCCCAGGGGTGACAGTACCGAGCCTGACATGGTTGAAGAAATCTTTGGACAATACTCTCAGGCCATGATGAAACTTTCGGGGCTGCCCTGTAAAGGGCCAGGAATGGACTCAATGATCCTTATGCGTCCCTTGCAGCTCAGAAGATTCTGTGATTTTGTGATGTTGTTTTAGGGATTTTCTTTTTTGGAATAAAATTGATTTCCCCATGTTCTCATGAATAACATTTCAAGAGAAATCTCTAGCAAGAAATTCTGCTAGCATTTTTTTGAAGTACTTACTCAAAGTTAGGATACTACATGTATAATCAATTTTAAAAATAAAATGTTATTTAATAATTTGGACTGCTTTGAGAAAGCAGACTCAATTTTCAAAAGTAGAGGAGATAATTTGTCCACTGCATAAATAGAATTCCTAGTCATATTGTTGATATTGTCTGCAAATATGAAAAATAGAAGGTTAAAACCTTTTATTAGTCATTGCCATATCTTATGCTTAAACTCAGAAACAAATGAGGACTTCCATATCTGTCTCTTGCAGTGATATGTGTGTCCTCCAGCACTGGAAGCTGCAATTTTTTTTCATTCAAAGTAAGGAGGTCAAGATTTATTTTAGACCTCTTTTCAGTTTATGCAAATCTCATTCACCTGGATCCCAGGTGAGCAAGAAGAGAAAGGTCAAGAGAGAACCAGGATCTAACCTTAAGTTTGGAGCAGTCACCTGTGAGAGAAGGGAGAAACTCTGGGAAGCCCAGCACCTCTGAGTTGTAACCTTAAGGCTGCAGAATCAGGCTGCCCCTTATCTTCACCAGGAAGCCAGCAAGTTTGAGCAGTTGTTCAATGCTGTCATCAGTAATTTTTGAGCAATTGTTCAATGCTACCATCAGTATCCATGACTAGGGAGAAATCTGCTGTCTTGCTTCCTCTGTGGAACTGTTATTCTAGTCTCTCTGTTCCAAGGAGCTTGGAGTCCCTGCTACATGAAACTTCTTGGTATGATGTGGGTGAGGTCTGATGGGGCCCTGACACCCCCAGGTACCCAGCAGAAGAGCAAAGATCATTGAATTAAGGCATTTCCAAGAAAATCAAGGCTATTTTAGATCAGTTTTAGTTCTTGACAAGTCTGCTCCTGTATTCTTTTCTATTCATTTTATTCCAGATGCATATTAGATTGTTAGATATCTCTCAGATATGTTAGGATCAGTTATAAAAAACAGGGAATTAGGGGAACATGGGAGCATGGCTGTGTCTACTATTAAATAAAATGTCAGTGGTCATTATAATAGCAATGTCTACTGTGATGGTAGAAGAAGGTTTTGAGAGAGGATATTTTAGCATTTCAATCTCTCTATATCTATAGTTCATTTCTATATTTCATCCATATACTTAAATATATCTGCATTCTGATCAAGCAGAAAACATACAGTTATTTTCTGCAACGTGCAGAAATATCTGCTTCATGAAAGCATTGATTTTTTTTTTCTCCAAAGTACATTTCTCTGAAAAAAAATTAATTCTTTAATTGAGAACATTACACCACAGGACACAATATATGCTCTTCACTTTGTAAATCAAGGTTAAATTAAGTAATGTAGAAAAATAATGACTAATGTGATGATACTGGTCATACGTAAAAAAAATCAGATCAAGATTTTTCAGGAATGACTGGTGACTTTGTCTTCTCATATTTTCCAGTTTGAGACATTTTAAAATAATCTCATAATGATTTATGGGTTTTCAGCAGTTTCAAGACATTAAACCTTGTTAGAGCTTTTTTGTTTTGAACACATGACAAACAAAAGCATTAATTACTTTAGTATCAACATCCTGAACCTGCTCTGAATTCCTTTAGAGGTGATGAATGGGCCCATAGCTGCAGTGATCTTCGCTGCTGTGACATTAATATTGTTTTATTTGGTAAATGGATGATATCAATTTTGTTCAGTCCTTCTGCTTCCACCCAAGTAAGATCTTTCTCAAGTCAATCTTCAGTCCTTTCTAGTGCTTCTTCAGGCAGCTCTTCACAATACATACAAAACCTCAATTTGAAGAGTAGGATCCACTGTGTTGAGCTTTCTACTAAAAATCTGAAGAATATATCTATTGTGGAGATTTGTCACAGCACTTCAATTACACTTTTAAAGTTACAGAATCTAATAGACTTTTGTGTTTGCTAATACTATGATATTAATTTCTACAGTCTGGTTTGAAAATATTTTTCTATATATTTTGTATATTTAGAACAAGAATGAGTGAAAGTTGGACAGGTTTCAAACTTCTTTATTTTGATGATGCATTTATTTAAAGATACATGTTTGAAAGACATCTAGACATAAGGATGAATGGACTTCTAGGCCTCTTAAAAATTATTACTCTATATATGGTTTCTATATTAAGATAATATTTAGGCAAAGTAAATATTTCTTTTCACTATGCATATGTACCAACCTAGAAATGCCATCATTCTCTCTGAGCTCAAGCTCATGGGTGTTTTAATGACTCAATTCAATTTCCTCTATTGTGCATTATGTTGAATCAGTGATATTGCTATCAAATTGCTTTCTGCTTTAGAAAGTAATGCAACAATAAAATACGTTGTATTTGTAGATGTTATATTGGTAACAGCAATTTAAAACTAAAAGAAAAATAAAAATACTGAAAGGTTGAAAAGCAAACAAAACTATCATTCTCTGCTAATCTCCTAACACTGTCCACAGCCCACATCGATCGTAAGGCCAGGCTGCCCAAAGGCCAGCTCAGAAGAACACAAAAAGCCTTATTTAAAAATGGTGTAGAGTGTGGGGCAGGAAAGATCAGGGAATGGGAGAAGTTCCAAGGACTGATCCAATACCCACTGATTGCTGAAAGTGTAGGCTTATGACCTGTCTTATCTGTTTCCCATTACATTGCCTAATAGTTCCACTAGAAATTGCCAGTAGAACAATAATCTTGATCCCACACATGATAGGAAGCCAGGTCCTATTGAAGTGTAGCATATTTATGCTCTCTGTATGAGAGCCACATTTTTCCTTCTTATGATTCTACCTTGCTTGAGTATCATTTCTCTCTGAATTTGACTTCATCCTCTGCTTTGATACCCACCTACAAAATTATATTTCTTTAAAATACAGCAACTCTTGTTTTCTTCTTCAGTCTGTGAACAGTAAATTAGATAATAATTTTTTGAGCAATCCTCAATAACCAATAACTGGAAAAACATTTAGTTCTAGTAATGCAACTATCTTTTGGTGTGTAGCTTGGGGGCTGTTGCTCCATATTAATGGGATTGTTTTAATTGAATTTAATATAGTTTTGAAAAGGAAATAGAACCTATTTCAAAGTGAATGTATTTCTAATTAAAATAAATTTCATTTGACTTAAAATTCTTTCACATTATTTACCAAAACTGGATTTCAGATTATTTATGGGCTGCCAAATTATTTGATAGAGATCCAAAGTATTTTAATTTCTTTGTGACAGATGAATGCCCTGAGCCATTTGCAACCTTTGATATATATTCAGAGTTGGCGTCAGTCAGCTGAGTTTATGTGCATAAACTGGGTTTCTGAGTATTGATTGTAGTGTCTTTTGTTCTTCATAATTTTTAACTCTAAGACAAGTTACAGTAATATCATTATTAAACCTTTTAACCTGTAGAAGCTATGAGAATTGATTAAACCAATGAAGATTTAAAGTAATTGCCAAAACCCATTCTGACACATTCAATTTTTATGCCTGAACCATTAGACTGTGTCTTGTGTGTGCGCTGCATAAAACCTACAGCACAAGCAAATTTTTTTTTACTTCTGTTTTTGTGTCATCCTGATTAAGGAAACTGGAAAGTAACTCTACCTGACACCTGCCTTGCTCTCTTTTTCTTGAGTGTGTTAATGATTCTGGAAGTGCACAAAATATCCATGGGTTCCTTTCAGTAAATGTTTAATAACAGCACACAAATGTATGCACTAGCATGCAGTGAATATGCCTCTGTATTTAGAGCACTTGGTTGGTTGACTAAATTCTTCATGTTTTATTAATTTGGTGAGTTTTGTTAATGTTTTCTTTTTTAATGCATTTTATATTACTTTTATTATTATTTCTGCATTTTTTTTTCTCTCCCCTTCTTTTTGCTGTACATATTGCTTTCATTTGTTTATAGAAGAAAAGAAAACAGATCCAGAGAATGGGGATACAGGTAGGGTGACTTATTAAAAATATTTTTGTGTTTCTCCCTTTGATCTGTTATGTTTGAGCAAATATGTAGCAAAGAATTGGAGTGCAATTTTTATGTCTTTTGCAGATTTCAAAATCTAGACTCTAGGGAATGGAACCTAAGAAAGGGCTTTCCCAAATGTATTTCCTTTGCTATTATAAGAGTGTCAAATAAGGGTGAGAAATGGTAAGAAAGAGACCAGAAGCAGCTAAATGCAGATACCTTACACTTTAAGACCTCTGTTCTGTCGTCCCCTCTCCAGACACAGAATGTGCTCACCTGTGCACATTTTTCTGCTCTATTAGAGGTTTCTAATTTCCAAAATATCAGTCTTTTTCAGTCTTTAGTCCCCTCATCATTAGTTTCTTTCCCCCATGCCTTAGTGGCTGTGTCTCCAAAATTTTCTATCCTTTTTGTTCACATGTATTCAAAACTAAATCTGTTCTAATATTACAAGGGAAACTTCACTTTTCTTCCATACCAGATTCCCTTTAACTCTTTGTGCCACAGAAGCCTCACTGTAGAGCAAACTTCTTTTCTAAACTCAGATCCTGCAATACGATCTCCATCACCAGCATCTCTAGGAACTAGAATGGTTTCATAAGTCCCACTGGAGAAGACAATGAAAGAAAGAATGAAAGAGCAGAGGTCCCAGCCGGTTTTATTTTGATTTTTTAACCAGATAGGTGTGCCTTAGGCTGAGCTGGATGATAAGGCCAGTTTGTTCTCCCTTTTGTCTCTGGTGTGGATCACAGGCTATCAGCTGAAGAATCTTACCCTAGAGAGGAGCCAGTATTTGACCAGAAGAGCAAATAACAGTCTTTAGCTCTAGGCTGAATTCAATGATCGCTTATCTCCTTGTAAAACCCTGACTCAGTGAGCAGCTCAGGGGTTAGGAAAAGTTAGGTATTAACCAAATCACTGATTACAGCCCCTCACTTTAGTGGTGAAGTAGCTGAATCTTATCTTGTTTCATCTTGGCTTATTTCAAGTTAAAACATAAAAATAATGTTTTTTATTTGAAGCTGAAGCAGTGATTTTAATGCTTGTCCTGAGTCCTGTTGTAGGAATGGAATTATACAGCCACCACCTAGACCATGGCAGAAATTATGTGGATCTTACCTCAATAGGGCTAGCTTCCACTTCAATAAAAGAATCAAGCAGAGTTCCTTTTTCTGCTATGTTTAATAGGCAATAGTAGTTACAGTTCATGCTGGGTGCCTCTTATTTGGGGCCCTGCCTGTTGCTTGTGACTGGATTTTATAGCCTCCATAGGTGACTTCATTTTCTGATTGCTCTCCTGCTCATCAGATGCTGCAATCCTGTTTGCAGCATCTGGGGTTTTCTCTTCTGATTTACTCCCACAGCCTCCAGGCACCCTTTTGTCTGTGTCTTGAGAAATTTCCTACTTCTATTACAAAACATCCTATAGCCAAAGTTGAAATTGTAGTTCATTGTCTAGTGGTTACATTTCCATAGATAAAAACAAGCATCAAATTCATGTGGCCCAAGGTTTAATTTACTGTAGCACTAGAGCTAAGCTCTGGCACAACATTCTCCCACTGCAGTCCTTGTGGATCTGAGAGATTACAGGGCTGCACTGCACAGGACTTCTGTGCTTACTCTGGCATTTCAGGAGTCTTTCCTGTGTAGTTATATTACTTTCCCTCAGCACTTTCTCTTCTGAAAATATGGGGAATAGCTGGTAATGAATTAGCAGTTGTGTCAGCCAGGAATTGCCTTGTGCCCATGAAAACCCCACTGAACTAACCTTCAGGCCATGGGGTTTCAATGCTAGAGAGTTCAAAATAACCAAAACTCTAGAATGTTGCCTACAGTGCAATGACCCAAATTATGTCTTGTGAGCAGCACCAGGCTTTGTTCTTCCCTTCAGTCTTAATTTTTTTGTTTATATGGCTGGAATTTTAGTGTCTCATTGGATATTTCTGTTGGAGGCACAACTACTGTTTTATAAGCAAAATTCTGGAAAGATGTTCATAAAGAAATGAACTCATTTTACCTGGCCAAAATTTGGTTGCATACACTTTGATACATTGTGGCAGTCACAGAAGCAACTTTAAGTTTTCTAGTGCCAGTCTTTATAGTCCTGAAAACGTGTTGCACTGGTCTCCAGCTCAGGATCTGATAACACAAGAGCTCAGTCAGCCCTTGTCATTCAGGTGTGTGAAAGCTTATGCTCCTACATTTTAACCCCTGTTGATAACTAATAGTTAGATTCAGGTTAGTTCTGGTTTCTTGACACATGCTCCACGAACATGCTCCTTGAACAGCTCCTGACTGCAGTGGAGTCCTTATGGTAGGACCAATGTTCTGCCTTGGTTACCAAACTCATGCTAAAAGCTGGAGCTTTAATACACCCAGAAATTTTACTGAACTCTCTCAGTATTTTCTTCTCCTGCTAAACCCTCCCACACAGGTGGGAGCTTAGCAGAGATTTGCCAGCAGGAGTGGAGGTGATGACAGCCCCGCATCCCACCACTCAGTGTGCCATGCCGTTGTGCTGGGCCACGGGAATGGGGAGTGCTGTGACACTCTCCAGCCTGTCCTGCTGCCATGCAGGTCCCAGCTGGCCCTGGCTGAAGTCTCAGTGAGCTCAACCCTGCACTCTGCATGTCAGCTCCAAGCACAGCAGAACCAGCTTTCTTCTGCTTTATGGACTATCCACTGCCCTCGGCTTTTCCTCTTTTTCCTCATAACTGAATTAATTCACTTGTTAGAGACCGTGTCAAAAATACAAAGGAAGTTGGATTTTCCTTTGATAAGATTTTAGGGGAACTGAATAATTTTTTTTCAACATTTTTCTGTCTTGTTTTTCTCTTGAGAAGAAATAAGCTACAAATTTTTCTTGTTTTGTTGCAGAAGACTCACACCAAGGCCTTACATCTTGTGCTCCCCTTTTGAGTGGCGTATTTTGTACATATCATAGGCAATTGAATTTGTGGAAATCTAACATTCACTTTCCCAACTGATCATAAATAAGAATGAATATTTTCTCAAGTAATTGTGAAGTTTCTAATTTATGCTCAGGAATTGTTATTTCTTCATTTGCACTTTCCTGAAATTTGGCAGAATGTCTGGGGACAGAAAAAACATGTCATGATTTCATAATAAAACGTAAGAAAAATTGAAAAATTGTCCCTTTTTTTGAAAAAAATCTCCTTTCTGACATTACTGAAAAAGGACAAGAAGATTTTGATTTCAGCAAAAGATGATTTCTTTCTTTGAGACGAGGCTGGAGTATTTTATTTCAAAAAAATTATGCGTTACTGCTGTCATTGAAAAAAGAAAATATTTTCCAGTGTAACTTTTTGTTTTCAAGAGAAAAAAAAAAATAGAGCTTTTAAAACTAGATCCTAAACAATTCACTTCATCTTAGTGATAAATTGACAAACACTGCTATGGGTTCTATAATGGTTGAGGAAAATTATGATAGGAAAAATTATTTTAGAAATTTTCATCTGCTGCTCTCCTTTTCATTTTATTTCTCCCTATAAAACACCATTTATTCTTTGTCATTAATTTTTTTTCATTTTAATTTCTCTTAGAATTTTTGATGAAGCCTTTTCTTTCATGTTATTGTAGAGTGTAAAGATAGAGACTTAGAATACAAAAACAAGAAGCCAAAGTGCTTATAGAGAACAGAACAGCTTAGTGGTTTGGCATTCCCACTTCCTTTTACCTCCTCTCCTTCCAGATTTTCTATGAAGTGCCACAACATCTACCTGGCAGCTCTCATAGTAGGTGCTACCACCCCTATTGCTCTCAAGAGAGAAAACACAAAGTTGAGAGGCCCAGGTTCTGTGCCAAGCCCCACTTTGCTGTTAGATCATGACTTTCAGCTGAGGTTTAGAGTTTAAACCAGGTTTCTGTACACTGGCATCTAATATTCCCATCTCAGTTCCATAAATGCAGTCCATATTGCTCAATACTTACAATATACAGAAACTTCTGTTTATCATTAGCGGGATTCTGAAATTTTTATCCTAGACAACTTGTGCATTAAAATGATGGATATTTTAAAACAAATGTCATTCAAAATGAAAGCTTTTTAGCATTTCGTGGATAATGATTTATTCTTGACTTACACTAGGTTAAAGTGGAAAAGAATCCTACTTATGTGTGTATGATAGCTAATTATATTTTGTTTTAAAATCTTTTCTGAGCTGTTGTCTCCCTCTCATTTTTCTGTTTCTCAATCTTCCACCTCAGCTTTGGCATTTCCTTATTATTTTACATTGTAAGTCATGGTACAGTACCAGTTTGTTGAAACCAGCTACTGCCTGAGTCACGTAGTGAGACCCCATGCCTGACTAAAACTAATCACATATGGAGTGAATCCTGGAATTGTTCTTGAAGCTGAGTTTCATTAGAATGTAATACAGTGACGCCACTGGGTGGCTCTTTAAGATTCCATTAGTCGTTCTTGGAATTTTTTGAGCATACTAAGAATATACTCAAATAGTAAATGGAAGGTCTGCTAGTCCGTGGCTGTTACTTGATTATTAATTTGATATGTCAGACTATGATAAATGCAGAACCAGAATCTCTACCCAAAATAAGCAGGTTATCTTTGCATTCCTCCTTATGAAATAAAAGACTCAATTTCTCTTGAATATTCATAAAATAGTAAAATTATATTCCGTGGAAACACTGTGTTTCATTTATATTGAGTTTTTTCACAAAGTTGGCTTCATTTAAATTGTGTAGATAATACAACACTTACTAAGATTCTGCTGAAATACTTTGCTATTTTCCTCCTGTTAAAACTTTTTGGTTTTCTGCAAAATCATAATTCAGGAACTAAAATTATGTGCACGGAACTTAAATAAATCAAATTTCATCTCTTTCTGTTAAAACTTCCATGAGCTTAATTTTAACCTTGAAAATGATGACTTCTTGTGTATTTATTTTCTTTTTTTCCTTCTGTTTTTAACTTAACAGGTGCACTGGATGTAGAAGAAAGGAATCGCCAAATGAAAATGAGCAAGTACAAACAGGTAGCAGGATCAGATTCCAGGCTGGAACAAGATTATCATTCCAAGGCAAGGGAGTTTTGTTTTGAAAAGCAACAAAATATGCTAAACTGAAATATTCAACATCCTATTAGAAAGTAATAGATGAGTGCCAGGTTGTTTCTTCAGTAAAAGTTTCTTATGTGTCTATAATAAAATTTTGGAAATGTGCAGCAAAACTCTTATCACACAATGTTCTTGATTATTAAAATTTAAGAAGGATAAGTTAAAGCAAATGAAAGAAGCAGTGTAATTATCTATCAGAATGAACAATAGTGCCATGATTTAAAAGCTCAGGGAAGGAAAAAATATGTTCATTGACTGACAGATGGCATGAGAGCTATTGAAACTTGTTCATGGCTTTCATATAGTTGACCAGAGTTATCTTGATCTATTGAAAACTGGAAGATGCAGTTGCTTAGTTCAATAGTGGCTTTTTGGCACTTGGAAAAGTATTTTATACACTAACAAAAGCTTTTAACCCAGCTATGGCAGATTGCCAAGAATCTGAATATCTGTGTAGTATTATAGCCTTAAATATACTATCCAAAATTTCCTGCTATCTGGAACAGGGTCATGTCATATAGAGTATGTTAATTAAAATAATCAAGATATTTTCAATTTAAATTTCTATTATGCAAAAATAATTTAGTGTCCTCTAAAAGTCTTCATTAATTGAGGTCACATTTTAAGTGGAAAACACGAGACTTCTGACCTATAAAATTTGGCTGAGGAAAAGATATCTGGTTTAGACTTTTATTTCCAAGTTGTTTTTCCTTGCTCCCAGGACTGGCAAAGCTACTATAAAATGAGACATTTAGTATTTGAATGCAAAAAAACCATCACATTTATTAAATATTAATTCTTAACTATTATTATAATTATTTGTTTCACAGATAATTTAGACTAATACACTTCATATAATTACTTTCTAGAATATATTTCAGTGTGGGATAATAGAAGTGTATTTAGCAAATATACTTTACTTTACATTTAGCAAATACGACTTTAACAAAGTCCATTTCCAAACGGAAAGCCCCACTAATGAAAATAGAATTGACAAAACCAAGACCATGAAAATGGCTTAAGATGCTTTAAAACTTCGTAGATGTGCTGCATGGTTATTTGGGTATTTTGCAAATGTAGTTTTAACTGCACAAGGCATAGGAATGTTTATTAACATGTAAGAGGGACTTGGATACTGTTGTGTTTAGCTCTTTCTTTTATTTTGACACTTATGGAAAGTATTTATATGTTGTTGACTTTGAAAGGTGTTGCCTTTGAGAGGTGAGCATAATACTGTGAGTGGACCTTATCGTAAGTGTTGTGACTGTATGTACCATAAAAATATGACTTTATGTATTGTATGTATAACCCTACTTAATCTGCTGATTCTCCTGCTTCCTCAATGCTTAACTGAAATTTGAGTCAGAAGTAGGACTGCTGCAGATTAAATTGGTTCTCATGTAAAGGAGTGAGATAGAACATGACTACCTAAGGAAGTATTTACTACCCTTGTTTTTCCATTTCACCTACACCATACTATTGGGCATCACTCTACATCTTTTATCTTTTTAATTAAAATTTTACCTTCAGTATTATTGGAATGTATTAAAGAGGAAAATTATAAATTGAATTATTTTATGAATATGGTGGTTTATTTATTGCACACATCAAACAATGTCTCCAGAAATAAACAGTTAATTTATTCTTCTTCTTAAGTGTAGTTTCAGTGCTTGAAAGTGAGTTATTTATTCTATCAATGAAACTGTGGAAGTAGACACTGAATATTCACATATATGTAGTAATTCAACATGCATTCTTAAAACTGTGTAGTTTCAAAGCCGTGTGAGAGCCATAAATCTCATAAACCATATGAGAGTTCTGTCTTCACTTTTTTACTACCACTACTTCAATTCTCCTCAATTAAATTCCTATACTATCTAGAGACAGAAAACGAGTAAGTAAAATTTATCTACCTGGTTTCTACAAAAATTCTTTTGAAATCATGAATGGAAACATGTATGTTGAATGCTGACTGTAATGTTCTGTACAGTGTTCAGTGACTTTGACTTTTTTAGACTTCTCAACTGGCAGAAGCAGGCACTCATGGGTGCCATGCCTGAGAAAAATATCATTAAGTAGGCATTAAGCCATGTTCAGAAAAGTCAGCACATAGAATTTGCTTTTACCATTTCTGTTTCTTTCTTTAAATAGAAGTCAACAGGTCAACAGCATCTTTATGTCCCTCTTGATTACTTTAACTTAAGAAAAAATATCCAATATCTTTCCTTGCTGAGAAGGCAAAAGCTATAAAAATAGAAGTTCTATTAAATATTGAAATATTAAAATAGGCACCCCGTGTTGTATCTCTCTAGCTTTGTTCTACCTCTGGAAATCAGTACTACAGGCTTTAAAGGAAGGTACACACCCTTTTGTGGTGCGTGGTCATACATTAATAAGTTTGTGGGAAAAGTTTAATTCCAGATCTCAGTGTTCTTAGAAGCTGCTGAAATATGAAATTTATTCCCCTTATATTTTTGTCTCCGGATTGATAAAGATTGTATTTCTATTATTCTGATACATGCCTCATTATTTTTGGAACAATAATTATTCTGCTTCCATAATATTTCATATGCATTAGTTTAGTAGGGTGCAAAAGGCATTTCCTTAAATAACTTCCTTCAGAAGCTGCTGGTTTCAGGACAGACATATGGAAAGCAAGTAATATATTAATTTTCATATAAATATTTACAGCTAAGCAGATGAGAGAAAAACATTGTAGGCACTAAGCATGAGGTAAATTAATTTCTGGTATTGGAACAACTATTTATTTCTGCTTATTTGGTGCTAGTAAATTTGTACTAAATAGGATATATACTAAAGTCCGAATTGCAGTTCTTATAGATGCTGACATAATGGAAAACCTGAATTGTGGAAATAAAGAAAAAATGCTCAATAGCACAAGAGTGTTCCACCAGAGGCAAAATTAGCCATTTACCATACTGTGCCTCTGCAACCCCAGCCTGATTTGTGTCATTTCCCTCAAGAATCTTTCTGTGACTAGTTTATTGTTTTGCATAAGAGCTAAGCTTCCCAGTTCTAAATTGTTAAGCAAGATGCACTCTGAAGAGGGAAGGGCAAGATGAGAGCCGAGCAAGCCACATGCATAACTCACATTTTGTAGAGCTGGCTTTTGGAGTCAGTTCCCAAATTACCTCATCAAACCTATCTGAACCTCTCTGCCTTGCTTCCTGCTTTTTACTCCCACCATTCTGGCAAACAATTTGGTAGTGCTGTGTTTGGTGAGCAGCATCTTCCTCTGGCCATTCCCACCAGTCCTCAGATACAGGAATTCCTGCTGACAAATTGAGGATGGAGGATGTGAGAAATCCTGTCATTCCTCGCTCCTTGCCCCCTGACTAGAACATGCACAGTGGATCAGCTGAGGAGAGTTAAAAAGCTTTGTTGTTACTGGGGAAAAAAAGAGAGAAGATACTTCTGGTATAAAGAACCCTAGAAGTGTTTGCAATCAGTGTGAACTCAAGAGAGAATTCCATTAACTCGGGCTGATGTTAGCCACTACAGAGAAGTCTGGTCACTGATGTCAAACTAAAGGGAGCTGGATTTATGTAGGAGTTGCAGCAGTGAAAAACTATGGCTTTCTTTAGGAAGAAAGGTAAAACGGAGCTGACACACATTTAAACATCTAAGTATCTTGAGACTCGTTTTATTTGTTTTATTAGGAAAAAAATAATGACCTATAAAAAGGCAGAGAAATCCAATTACATGATATAGCAATTAGTAATAGTCAGTAATGTAGTAATTAGCAATAGAGTATGTTAGAGCAACAAGGAATAAAGTTGGGATAAAAGAGGTAAAAGAGCAGATGAAAACTTGATTTTTTTTTTTTTCTAAACAAGCTTATTTAGCTAAATGTAGAAAAGACTACATCAAATACAGAATCATACAGAACATCAAAGAGGATTTCCTAACTCCAGCTTTAATGATTCATACTGATTATAAGACTGAAACTTTCTGCATCATCAGATATATATAAAGCAGCATTTCCTGATAATCAATAACCACAATTCGAGTTTTAGATATAAGCATAATTCTCTGTGTTTGGTGTAGGAGAATAGTACAGTAAGGCATACTAGCATGCTAGTTTGTGATCTTTTAGCCTGATAACAAGACCAAGACAAATTAAACTGTGGAAGCTTGTGTTTAGCTTTTTGAGTAGCATAGATGGAGCATGCACAGAACAGCTGCAGCTCTTCAGAATGAGACACTTGGATCCAGCAGTGAATCAAGTGCAACCTTAAGGGATTTGTGTGTGAGAGAATATGAAAAAGGTAAGATCTGAAGGTGGAAGAGGCTGACTTTTAGTGCCTCAGAAGCAGATCTTAATTGTAAGGTCTTGTAAAGTGCAAAAGTGCTGCCAAGAGTTGCCTTTTCCCTCTGAAACCTGCAGTAAGTAGGTTTGCCATGGGTACAGATACATGTGGAATCCTTTGACCTCTGCTGTCAATTGAAAGATTTCATATAATGGTGTTTTGGGAATCCCTTTGTCTCCTCCTTTAAAATCAAAGCAGAGCAGTACACAGAGCAGCAAAGAGTGCTAGCAGAACCACTTGCCTCCTTTCTTTTTGAAACATCTGTGGAGAAGGGAGTTAAACAAACATTCAGCTAAAGGGATGTTGGGAACTTTGATATTTGGATGCATATAAGCTGTATTTGATTTATATTGGTTTTATGTTGACAGCTGTTTTAGAGTTCTTGGAGGATCATAAGATGCCCAGTAATAATTTGATAATTTATAATAATTATGAATATACCTCTTTGATCTATAGTTGTTTCTTACAACTGATGCTGTTAAGGATGTAATTAGAAATATTCAAAATACTAAATACAAAATGGAGGCTATTTAGATATCCATATGCCCTCAAAACAGTTCATAAATTGTTTTGTATATACTTCTTTTTAATATACCAGTTTAAATTTTAAAATTTTAAGCATCTGAATAAAAC